TACGCGTAGGGCTAGATTACAATTTGAGCTGTACAAGTATTAAACTCATTGCATCAACATACCTGGTCACTCGTGAGCACCTCCTCCAGTTTCTCTGAAAGTCGGTTGGCGAAAAACTGCCATGCCAACGCTTTCTTCTGGTTGGTGTCGGCTTTTTCAACACGACACCTAACTTCCTCATCTTTATAGCACATGTCAAGACGCCTTGCCACCATTGCATTAGTCCAGACGAATCGCTTCGCGGGGCTTGATACATTTGTAAATGCTTTCTTCTTCTTTCCCTTGCGCCCTCTACTCGACTTTTCTTTCGCTTTGCGCTTTCTTGTTGGTTTTAGTGTGGCCTCCGGCTCGGCTACAGTGGCGGTGGAAGCCAACGCCTCACCAGACACAGCACTGTTTGTAGGGGGCCAGCTGTATTTCACCGGTGCTCCCGGTTCAGAGAATTCTGGAGAATTCCTATCAGCTGTTGTGTAAGTCGGAGCTGGGAATGACCTGGATAGGCCATGATCGCCTCCCCCACCAAGAGATCTGGAGGTCAAAATGGATGGCAGCATCGGAAGCCGAGTAGTTCCTTCGTGGGGCGTGGGTTGGCCGGTGTGAGCAAGTCGTAAGTCGTGTGAGTCCATTGAGCTGGAGGAGAGTTGAGCGGAAATGAGAAAGTGTTCTGCTTTCATGCATTGCATTGCATTTTACGTACTTATACACCGGCTTCAAACACTGAGAACGCGTCCTGACCTGACACTTGTCTCGGAGCCAAACCCAGAATACACGTACTCTGACCTGAAAGTCGCTCTGATCCAACCCAATCCCTTCTGCTATTCTCGGAACAAGTTTACTTAGACCAGGGCCTTAAAGGCATGACCGTTCGCTCCGTCCAGCTGCCTTTGCACGTCAGCTACTATGCACGCCTGATTTGCTGCTTCAATGGCTTGTTCCAGCTGACATCAGCCGGTTGACATTCGCAAGTATACCCTGGCGGGACCTTCACGAGCACCACGCTCAGCTCCTCCGCGCACTCGACAACCTCATTAGTCCAATGGACACAGAAGTCACCCCACAAGAATAGCACTGGCTTTGACATGTCAGGACGGTCTTCAACCTGGCAACGCAAGACTGCAAGTGATATAGTGGCTGTCCACCACCCGCAATAGTTGCCGTATATCCGCAGGCTGAAGTCGTCTTGATGTCACTCGATGTCTTTCCACAAACGCTTCCTAAACCCGTGGCGCCGCTTAGTGTTGATAGCAGCCGTGTCAGTTTTGTTCTGGATAGGGTGGTTAAAAGAACCAAGAAGTGAGTCTTCTCCTCCCCATGAGAGCTTCCTAGTAGCATGCCCAGGAGTCGCTTCTTATCACGACTACTCAAGCGAATCCACACTGTCTCGCTGCATTTCATTTAAATAGTAGACGTCGGGATATACTCGAAGAAGATTAGCATTTGGTCGGCGTTATAGACCACAGCAATATCTAAACCCGCCATGTTAGCAAGCACTTTGTCACGGAAGTCCTTTGCCACTGTCGAGGCATCGCTTGGGAAGGTTTGACCTAGTCAAGTTCTCGCTCGAACGCAAAGATGATGACGACGCAAAGCTCTACCTTGTCATAAATTTGTAGGTTCAAAGAAGCCATAAGGAGCACCACTCTCAGTTTTCACTCGCAGGGCTCGTAGACGAAGCATTGTTGGCGACACCGGAGCTCCTTCCTCCCCGTGGCCGTCAATGCATTGGACGAGGTCGTGCTCAGCGTCCGCGCTCAAAGAGATGGTCAACCCAAGCTGCGGATTCCAAGACTCAATGCCCCTGTCACCATGTCCCACATAGCGACACGCTTGCCTTTCCTCTTGACCCACGGATAGATGCTCTTTTGCTTTGTGTCGAGCATAGTTCCGTCCAGGCCCGGAAAGAAGTTACTCAGCGTAGCTTGTATCCCCGTGCTTTCGTACGCGACATCAACAGCGAGTTGAAACTCATACGTCTCCCAGGTGTGCTTGTGCTGATGCTGCTTCCTGCCGCCACCATGGTGATTTGGCGTTCGGCCACGAGGCACTTTTAAAGTGAGATCTCTACTGGCGCATGACGGTCGGCGAGCACAAATGCTGAATTGCTGCTTATCTGATGTTGTCGGAAACAGCATATAGATTTTGGCTGCTCTATTTGGTGCGATTTTATTGGATAAAGTTTTCATGTCGGAATTTACATGTTGTCGGAATCTACAAGTGCGATACGGAACCCTAAATAGGACCTCCTTAAAAATCTACCTGCTCCAGAGCGTGTCTAGTCACCGGGATGGATTGCATAGCGATGTCTTCTCATCGAGGTTGTTCACCAGCCAATACGTTCGGATCGTCAACATCTTGGTTCAATATGGAACGGTTATCAACGCTATTAAATTAGGCGAGAGGGCTTTTTGAGAACTGTTGTTGAGTCACGTCTTAGGACGTCGTCATCGGATTGAAATTTGGAACTCGAGCTCGGCGGACCACCTCGCTTTTTAAAGATTGGCTTTTGCGGTTCAAGGTTTGGCGTCTTTTATTTGGGGCTCTTGGCTCGGAGCACCACCTCTCTAGTATAGTGTGTGTCCAACGCGTCTTAATAGGTGAAGTGCGCTCGTGTGTGCTAACTGCGGACTCTGGCTTCATTGTAGGTGTCGTCCGCCGCATAATTTCGCACCGTGTTCTTAAGTAGTCCATATAAGGTCTTTTGTAATCGAGTGCGCTAATATCCATCACATCATCCTGCTTTGGCCACCATTCGGAGTGAACTTACACCGAGTTATATGCCAAACACAGGAAAAGTACGCTTTAAAAATAATGCAATACATGTCGTATCCAATATAAAACATAAAAATAGGAATTTTCTTATTTAATACCCACTTGCATGAAGCCCTGCAACATTACACCGAGAAAGCAAAGTTGCGCAACCAGCGAAGTGTATCATCTTTATTACCCCTCGATATGTGGTGCTAAGAGTGTCTTCCAGCAATACTACTCGGGCCTTAAAAAAAACGTTGCGGATCAGCTTAACTGTCTGTCATCCTGCATCGACGTGCAAACATTACTTAAGATGCGCAGCAATTCAACTTAAACGCCAAACTCCAGTGGGTTTATAGTAAGGTGCCCGTCAGCTAAGAATATGTGATTCATCCTATCCTCTGTTAGGAGTTCGTCAACGACTTCACAGGGTCGAACCTCCATTATATCTACAGGTTTCTCACAGTGTAAAATTGCGGGGAAAATGGTTCGCTTGGCTACGTCTGTTTAAAAAAATAGCACCATGCAATCTCAAACGATCTTGTATCGGCAATATTTCTAATTGCAAAAAACTAAAAAGAAAGAAGGTAAAATCAAGATTATCTTCGAAACGGTCGGCGGTCTGGCACCCTTAGCCTAAGGGTGGATAAGATCAACCTTTGGACCAGGTGGAAGGTCAGTGTACCATGATCGAAGCTGCTGAGGTCGAGACAGAACCGGATCAATGAGCACAACAGAACCAACACTTAATTTGACAGTCCGCCTGTGGATGGGGAGACGTAGCAACTCTATCTGCAACCGCCAACTAAAAAAAAACGGTGGAATACACTGGCGCGTGCGTGTTTGCCCGCTCAGATACGTCGTATCTGAAGCGTGTAGCTGCTGCGTACCTGGTGTTGGGTTTTCGCTCGTGAACTCCGTTTCGCACTTGAATCGTGGTAGTCGAATACCCGGCAGTTCGACACTAGGACGACCATCTCGGAGGTATCATCCACCTTATCACGGCGTAGATGGTCCCACGAGGTACCAGCCAGATACATCTACAAACACCGCCTGAGCTCGGTGTTCATCCCGTGTATGTCGGTAGGGGTCATACTGAACAGTCCACTATGATCCCGTCCGAAATAACAGCGAGTTGGTCCTAAGTTGCTTAAGTAACAAACATCGATTGATGTGCAATTTTGCTTGGAAAAACTTAAAGTTGCAGGATGACAAATACAGTTCAACCTACGGATTTGTTTTCCGTTCTGCGAAATTTCTTGTGGCTGTTTACGAAGACTGTACTTTACGCACGTACTGTACCAGTAAGTGGCCTTCAATATTCAGAAATACAATACATGTACAGTACTGCACCCCGTTTTCGCGGGGGTGGACCATATAGGATTTGCAAAATAATCCGTTTTAAACATACAAACAATCGATCAGGTGGACTCAGGATCATCACATCTGGAAGGTTATCAAAGGTCCAAGGGCGCGATAACGGGGTGTAGTACTGTACTTCGAAGTATACACGTATGGTCGAAACCAGCATATCCTGGGATTACATGTTCGTGTTTTTTTTGTGGACCTTCAGACTGAAGTTCAGTCCTCACTTCGCCATTTTCCTTTAGAAGACAATCCATCACCAACAAGAAACGCAGGAATCTCCAAGGTCCAATCATGCGTCTACCGTGGTTGCTGCCTCGAAACTTTGATATTTCAAACTGCGAACACAGTCTTAATTAAAAAAATGAAATTCGGATTTTGCGACATGGTGGGTGGATGGTCGATGATGTTGGTTTACGCATATAAGTGACATTTTGGATGGATGTTGACGATGACATTGGTTTACATGTACGCACATAAGTGTCACATACAGCTTTAATTGATGAACCCTTCTATAATAATCCCTGCTATTAGAATACTCCCCGACTAGAATAAAATATCCTATTACGAAATCTAGCAGCATATACGGCTAAAATAATATTGCCTCTCACCTCTCCCTCATAATGTGCGTTACGTTTTACTAACTCATAAGGTACATCCACCACGAATAGGAATACCCTTAGCTAGCAATACAATGTCGATTCCCGTCATTATGACTACGGAAGGGTTCATCTGTCTATGGTAAAAAAAAAACAGCATATCCTAAATGATTGGGCGTTCATGGACCGTTGTTTGCTTTCCGTGGACCTTCAGACCTCACTTCGCGACTTTCCTTTCCAAGACAAGCCATCACCGCCAAGAAACACAAGAGTTCCCAAAGACCAATCATGCGTCTACCCTCCATCCTCGTGGTCGCTGCCTCGACACTCTTTTTACACTATGGTTATACCAGTGCATCTCCCGGTGCGGACGCTGTACTAACTGGTGCTGTGTCGCTGGGATTTTTGCAACTCGTTGGTGCTGACCAAAGTGTCATCGAGCAGCCTCGTTTTCTGAGAGACGGTAAGATTGCCGAAGGTGACAACGAAGAGAGAGTGAATGCTCAAAAGGAGGCGGCAGCAAAAGTCCTGGACCAAGTATTCAAGACGAAGTCTTTATCGCCCCTCGACAAACTCGAGAAAACGTCTAATCTGGCGGTGATTCGTCACGTTGCTGCAATGGTAGACGACAAGGTGGATAAAATATTCGCGTTTGCTGACGCTGTGGGAATGGGTCGTGCGTCAATGCTCAAAATGTTGAAGGGTGATAAACAATTCACGGATGCTGAAAGGTTGAAAACTGTCAAGAGGTATGTAAAATTCTTGATCAAGAAGGAACAAAACAACAAGGCTTAAGCGGAGGTATTGGCGCAAACTCTATGAATTGAAAGCGTCACAATCGATTTGACGTTACAATCCTACCCGAGTTTGGATAAGTAGAGGGTTGCAGGGAAATGTTCAATTGGGTAGTGTAATACTACAACATTTGAGGGAAGAGCAATCCTGTATCGGTAGTGAAAAGGAGAACTGTTGCATCAAACTGTAATTAAAGGCCAAATATCTTCATGTTACGCAAGCTAAGCGTCCAGCACCTGCTGAGGACTGACGATCTGCCATTTCGAATACACAATTAGTGTCCATTATTATACGCTTCCATCGTACTACAGCGTCATCCACCGGCAACTGACTGCTTAGTCTTGCCGTGCAGCTTGCATGCAAGCTCTACCTCACCCATTCATGTTACGGGAGCGAAGTGTCCGGCTTCTTGTCCTACCTCCGAGATCGCTGAGGTGTTGGAGCCTCCTCCGACCCTAATTCAATAAATGCCCTTGTAAATGCGATCGACGCTAGTTATGGTTTAGCGATACTATTCTGGACTTTTAAGCTTTATAGTTTGATACTTGTGACTATCTGATGCAAACCGTTCTTTTTTTAAAAGCTGTCAAACGTAAGTAGTCTATCGATTTTCGCGAGTCAAACGAATAAAAGAAGTTTTTACTGGTCTAAACCCGGTCATTTTGCATACATTGGACTGGAAGGGTTTCAAGCTCTTAGACCTCCCCGGGGAGGAGTAAACAGCATTAGGAGAAGGCATTGGCCCCTCTTGAGCTTAGTAACTTATCACCAGTGTAATATTTGGATTTCAGCAGCTCAATCGGCGCGATACCGGCACCTTTATAGCTCGCTTTTAGTGCATCGTGCCCTTTCTCTTAAACATCAATGAATATTTCTATTCAGCAAAATCAGCAACCAAGAACCTCGTACCTACTGCGTAGCAAACCCACACATCATTCCACAGCTGATTATAAGCCAACCATACATAATTCTTTAGTATGTTTTTAGAGCTACTAATATACGGTATAATACTACCGTCTTACCCTGCATCAACCGCCTAGGCTATCAATTCGAATTGTTTGGCGGGGTCGATGTGCACGGTACCCTCCATTTGAAGACATGCACAAATAGAACGTACCTCTAACAGTACCAGTAGCAGATGCTACTACAGCTCCACTAAAATGGTGGCTTTCAATTGTCCTCCACCCATTCTATTGTGCTGTCCATTGCTTCTCGACGTTCCAGCAGTATACTATTTGTTCAACATTTTCAAACTGCCATCCTAGCCTATAATGATCATACCGAAGAGACGCAACAGCTACAGCTACAGCCTAAAGTTCAAGTTGGACGTCGCCTTAGAGTACAAGAAGAACGTTAGCGAACGCGGTTATAATTCGTTGGCGAAGAAGCACAAACTTTCGTCAAAGTGCGACTCGAACGATTCGTCGACTACCGGGAGCAGGCCGTAAAGCCCATCACCTTGTCCTGGAGGAGAAACCGCACAGCTGGGTCACAGTCAGAATCAGAAAAGGTCCCCGCGTGAAGGATAAATACATACAACTATAGGCACTCAATATATACCCGCGGTTGCATCTAAAAATAACAACTTCAAGTGAAGAACTGCTCCATACGCCTCTTCTGGTTGGCTTAGCAGATTCATAGACAGATGCCATACAATCACGATAACACTACCGACCGAAGTAAAAGACATGAACCAGTTGGCGGTGACCCGGGATACCACAACGACCCGGACGTCAACTATACTGTCGTAATGCAAATGTTTATTCGAGTGTTTGTATAATGCTCAAGTCGGTCTACAGGGTGATTAACGCGATTGGGACGGTCGGATCCACGTCTGTCGCACCCACGCGGCCACTAATGTTCAAGTCCTTCATCCAAATGTGGCCGCTGTAGTACTCGGACGTGCTGCATAGCTCACGCTGAGAATGGGCTGTTCGGATCTGTGTTGCTACTACTCAATCGCGTTGCAGTCGTTTGTTTGTTGATTTCGAGGTCGTCCGACTTGTCGCTTTGTGGGGATAACAAAACAAACAGCTAGTTTTCGCTTTGCTTTGGATCCGGGGTTGGTAGTGTGTGCTGGGGTTTCACCTTGGTTTCACCTGCAGCTAGACTCGGGCTGGGGCAACTTCACCCGGATGTGGCTGCCATTGCAATCAATGGGTGGAGTACGGAATGTCTTCCGTTGTGTCCGACGCGTGGTCAGCTGAGGATTTCAATTTCACCTGGACTGCCAGTGTGCTTGTGGACTGCATTAGGATTTAGTATTGCAAGCTGCATGTTTGTTTTCTGTGATGAAAGGCATTCATGTCCACTTCCCTTGCTGCCTAGTCGGCTGCTAGCAGCACATTGACGAGAACGAGCTGTTCAGCACCAGACTTATGACCTCGTTCACTTTGCAATTTCCACGACACAGAGTACATCAATACATTTGGCTGCTACTTCCGTGCGGGTTGGCCCCCGCATCGACGTGTGTTTCCTGTTTTGCTTCAAAATCCCCGGGTTATACTACAAAGAATTGTTAAGTAGAATTTTCACTGTCCGTGCGCCATCTATCGACGTATGCCAGTGACGTTGAAGCTATCTGTCTACCGTTTGATCGACGGCGAGTGCAACTATCGAGACCCAGCTCTTATCACTTCAAGATGATGCGAGCAGCTAATGAAGACAGACCCATGCAGTACCGGTATTCCTCCCGATTTTACAACCCAAGATCACGTCAGTTTCACAGGAGGCGCTGGTAAAATGGAAGAAGGAGCGCCGTGACTGCGAGACCAAGCTACACAACCGGTGTCGAGTGACTGGAGAGGAGTACGAAGCGGTGGTGGAGCACATCCGAGACTCTTTCGATGCCGACCTCCTCGAGGTGTTTTGCGAATCCCAGCTTAACGTGGACGCCGTTGATGTGACAGAAGGTATGCTAACGGCTGAAATCGAGCACATCGTGGCTAGTGTGAAGAATAAGGTGCTGCCTGACATCGAGGGCCTTTTCAAGAAGGAGCTCAAGATAAATCTGGCGGAGAGCAACGTGAGTGCTCGCGTCGTGGATTACTTTAATGGGTTTTAAGACCATCGTCGACGACAATGGGTTGAGCTAGTGTTTCGTCTTTAAGCGTGGGAAACGTAAGAAGTGCAAGATGCTGACCTGAGCGTTGAAGCCACCGATGCTCAAGACAGAGGTAAAGCAGTGTATCCGTTATACGCATTCTGAAGCCGAAAAAGACCCCAAGGTGTTGTTCCGGCTCATCGTGGAGAAGGCGACCGAGCTCAAACGCCAGCACATCCGTCTCAAGGGGCACAGAAGTGAGGCCTGGAGTGGTGAAGAGAAGACCAAGGCCAAGCATACGTTTAAGTCAAAGAACAAAAGGGACCAAACACAGACGGTGGCTAAGGCTGACCAGAAGACTATCGCCGGGTCAAACCCGAAGTCCAAATTCTTGAACAAGTCAAGACCGCCGCCAGGACCCTGTCCTAAGTGCGATGAGATGCACTGGCTACGGAAAAGCCTTGTAGCGACCGAAGTGGAGAAAGCTGAGCTGCTCAAACGTTTTCGCAATGAGCGGAAGTCCAAGAAGGCAAAGACCAAGCGACTTGTTGAACGCCTACCGACTGCTACGCGTACGGTATTGCTTAATGGAGTACTTGAGCTGTCATATTGCCCCGATAGTGGTTCGGCCTACACCGTTATTGGTCGTTCGCACTGGGAAAACCAGACCTTCGGTGACCAGAAAGTGACAGCGACGCAGATGGCAAAAATACGAGTACGCATCCACACGGCAGTGAGACCGGTGGAACCGATGAATCTCGTGGAAGTTCTCGTTGTGGACGTGAATGATGATGAGTTCATCGTCGGCAACGATCTCTTGACAGCATTGGGGATCGACGTGAACCGTCAGCTGGAGCAGCTGGTGAGTCGCGGAGATGATGAGATGGCCGGTGATCCGATTGAATTGGAGGCTGACGAAATGACAGTGCACGTGAATGATTCAGTTTTTATTGGTGGTGACAATGATATTTTCGCTGCCGTGGAGAAATTAATTGATCGTGCTGTTAACTGTGGTTTCCCGCCGGACCATGTGGAGAAATAACGTACCATCGTACATGCGTATGATGTTTGGCGTCTAGAGCTACGTGCAGATCTACCAGCACGTGTGCCTCCGTTGGAAGTGCAGCTGCGGGAAGGGGCTCGGCCTATAAAGTGTAAGCCCCGAAAGTACTCACCTCACATCCGCGGTTTCCTTCACGACTTTAACGATCGTCTTGCTGAACTAGGATTGGTTTACGAGAATTCGAAGAGCCGATGGTCGAGCCCCGTGCTCCCAGTCAAGCAATCCTCAGATCTTATGGACCTACGGCAGACGGTGGACTACCGACTTACGAACGCCCAGACCGACACTATGGCCGCTGTTATGCCCATTATTTCGTTAGTTGTGGAACATGCTAGCGAAATGAAACACTTTGGCCTTTTCGATTTTCTCAAAGGCTTTGACAGTTGCTGTTGGCCGAGTTGTGCCAAGAGTGGTTTTCATATATGACAGATGAAACGATCTTTACTCCGCGGCGAGCTCCTCAAGGATGCAGCGACGCGGTGATCCATTTCCAGAAGCCCATGGAGGAGTGTTTTGCTACCCTGCTGTACAAGCACCTCCTAATCTGGATCGATGATCTGCTGTTATACGCAGAAGATATCGACATCTACCTCGACAAACTCGCCGAGTTTTGCTCTCTGCTAAACCAGTTTGGGCTCAAGCTAAACGCTAAGAAGACGAGTCTCTACCAGACAGAGGTGAAGTGGTGTGGACGATTGATTAACGGTGACGGCGTCAAGCACGACCCAACACGGATCGACACTCTCCGTGCCATGCCGTACCCTACGACAGCTGGTGAGTTACAGCAACTTGTGTGTGCTATTAACTAGATGAGGGAGAGTATCGTGGATTACGCTCGTCAAGTGGCTCCTCTCCAGCGACGACTTGATGCTGCACTCGCGGACACTAAGCGAA